GCTTGAACGAGAAGAAGGGATCGAAATAAATACTTTACAAGAACTCGAGAAACTACTGACTTCTAAGGATTTCGAGGTGCGACTGATTGATTGTTCTCATCTATTCCATAACTGACTATTTGCAGAGTGCACTGAAGAGCCGCCTTACCGCATGTATGCTATCTCCAAACCTGACTGCTTATATCACTGATACGCATCAACATGTGATGGTAGTTCGGATTTACTTCTTATTGCCTTAAATGCTCATTGTTCATACCGCAGGAGTTTATCCAAGCGCACAATGATCTTTTCAAGATCGCTGAGGGACTCTTTGAAGACGCTGAGTTGCGCTCACAACTCGGCAGATTGGTCACACGGCTTTTGTCAACCATCCGTGGCCAAATCAAAAGCACAGTACGTATTTTCTCAATGAATGAAGATAGAAAGTGTTCACAGCGATCATTCTATCCGCAGCTTACCAGGTCAGTCAGCAAGAGATTGAGTATCATGGATGCCCTCAAACCGCTTATACATAGTGGCATGGAGGTTGACTCCTCGCATTGGACTAGATTTGCATTTTTGGTGGGTTTCTTCAGGCATCCAGATTGTTTTTACTGAATTTGAGACAGCGCCGTTGTCTTCGCATCTTCCTGATTGGTGTTTGTGATCATGAAAAGCTCACCCTCAAGGAAGCCTTCTCCCCCTACCTCATCCCCTCGCTCCATCAAGATCTTGTAGAGCATATTGAGAAAACGCTCAATGTTGATATGGTTCAGTTGGCGGATGAATTTTCGGAGTATCACCCAGGCCAGGGATCTGCGGATCAAGAAGAACGCTCTGGTGCCTATGAAAGCCTCAACGATCCTACCAGCCATGATGCGAGCTCCACCGCAGCGGCAGTCACCAACAATCTGGTTGACGAAGAGGACCGCCAGGCTGATCCAACTGCAATCGAAGGTCCCTTTACAGATGCGGATGCGAATGAAATCCCTGACGAGTCTTTTGGTACTCCTGATTGTGCGACATCTGGCTTTGGACTCGACGGTGGCTTCAAAAAATGGAACAAACAAAAATTTTGGAACTATGTTGATGCAATGCTGGAGCAGCTTCGCAAAAGTGCGCGTGAGCAATCAGGAGGTCAGACTGCTGGGTATGAAGATGTGTACCGCAAGTACGTGATATCTCTGTACACCGTTTATTCACCTTACTGACTAATGAATAGGGCAATGGTCGAGTTTCTCCAGCTCGACCTGCAGGAGTTCCCTGGTCGCCGCAAGGCTCTATCTCTTGTGAAAGGTTCACAGCCTGTATGGCAGGAAACAATTCAGAAAAAGTTGTTATGGTAAAGTTTGTGCGCTCATTCATTCGTAGTCCTCATTTAATTATAATCAATTAATCATTATATAAATTGTCTACTTTCGTTGAATGCATGGTGTCTCGTCGTGTTTTGTATACGAGTCTGAGTACCACCGTGGTGCATTACTGGCCGATCACCGAGAGAGATATCCGCCATGTATAGCGGATGTATCATGACATTCGTCATTCATACCTACTTGGACATGCTGCCTCAGATATGCAGGTGAAAACATAATCTGTATGTCTCAATCAATACACCTCATTTACATCTGCGGGCGACCATTAAACTGACAATTTCCATAGATACGAACATCTTATCTTAGGACAGATATCACCTAAATAATTAATTTATATCCTACAGAAGTCGCACAGAGACCGGGCAATCAAATATTTTTGAACATAATCGCATATATATTTATGATTTACGTGGTATGTCGCGCGAAAACCCTATGGATGATGCGTGTGAGATATTGGATATATAATTTCTATTTTTGACACCAGATTTACAAAATGGTGGGTTTGCCGTGTACTGTGCGACAGATGCGATTCGAAGATAAGGCCTAAGGCGTATTGCTTTGGATATGATAACCAAGTCATGAAACACTAGCTATAGGTGACTTGTCGAGAAATTTACGCCTTGCCAGCTCTGATCAGCGAATGACCTAATACAGTCCAATATTGGTTACATAATCGAAATTTTAAATTGAATCAACAGAGCGTTGGTCTGTGCGCACCGTGTATACACCTCACGTATGCTCTCTTCTGAGACTTCTAAACGTTCTAGTATAGACATTTCACCATCATTGTCGATCGATGGCATCAATTCATATGTCGTCCTCTAAACATGACAGGGATTGCATGGATGCTGTGCCACATTCGACAGTCTCGACTAGACAGGCTGGTGACCAGTCCGTCTGTGAGGCAAGCCGTCGCAGAATAGTCTGCTTTGCGAATAGGTTATTCAATCCATTTCATTTATTCGGTTCGCTATTCCTCTGAAATTGCCCCTCGATGGTTTTCGCTTAGTCGGAAACCAGAGAACTTCATATACTTATCCCCTAACATCATGATGATTAGCTTTCCAAAGCACTTCAAGCTCACGATATCTCAGAAAAGAGCAGTCTTGAAAAGTACCGAGCGAGATCGCCTTTGAACCATAGAATGCCAGCGACGCTACGCAGAACTTCTTCGTTGCTAGCTATATGAATATAAGAAATCATCATGATATAACGTTGGCCATGCAGTAAAAATACAATACAATAGCCTCATCATCTTGTAGCTGTCAATCGCCTTGCAAAAGTTCCGCCGCACGATCTTGTTCGCGGCGCGACTTTGGCGGTTTCACCACCAAGTCTGCTTGTTGCCTGCAAACTCAGATTAGAGTGCGAGCTGCACATCTTCCATATACACTCACAGACGCATCCGCAACAGTAGCTTGCGGTTGGTGCTTTGTATCTCAGCAGCGGTCTTTATGGCACGCGCAAATAATTCGGCCCTATGATCTACTTTCCTCGCTTTCAGGATCTGTATTGTTAATAGTGTCAGCGTTATCCTCGCCATAGTTATGCCAACAAGTCTCACTGGCCTTGTTCTGACTGTCAACTCGGCCTTGAATCTGGCCGCTTTGAATGAGCGCGACTACCTCCTTCTCAACCTCGTCGACGGTCCAGCCGAATGCCGCGCTCATTCTGTCGAGACGAATGGTCTGGAATGGCTGGAAGTAAAGCACGACCGCGACATTACGAATGAGGTTCGTCAGATCATATACATGTGAGTATATATGAATGTCCACGTAATGACGCGTCTGGTGCAAGAAAGACAGCTCAGAATTATAGATTTTGATATATATATAAAGCATACCGAGTACCGTTCGAGAAGCTCCAGGACGTTTTTGAAATCGCTTGAGAGATATGACTGGGTTAAGTCTCGAACATATGGTTCTTGCTCAATGTACGCAGAGAAAATAGCGTTTCCTGTAAGTTGAGACTTGATTGCAGATCGCGACATGCTGGCAAGAGCGCATAGAGTTCCATACACCGCAAAGTCACCAGGAGCGACAAGCTAAAAGAGCATAAGCAAAGTTTGGCTGGATAGAGAATATCGCCTACCTTGCCAATCCAATCGCCAAGAGAATCTGGAGGGCCGATCTTCAGAAAAAGTTGAGCGGCTTTTTCGTAGTTGGCTTGTCCTAAATGGAACAAAGCCATCGCGAAATCCAACTTGGATTGTACCTGGTCACGCTCCGCTGACCTTTTAGGTGGAGGTGCAGCGGAACCCGCAGTTGAGTTGGATGCTGCTGCTGCGTTTGCCGTATCAAGTGCACCCTCCGCCTTGAAAACGTAGGAAGATATGTGTGAGTAATTACGTTGTTCAATCACAAGCTATAGGAGGAATGAATGACCCAAAAATAATATCAATGAACTAAAATCTACCTCTAGCACAGAAAGACACATGTCAAGAACGTGCTGGCTTGTTGAGCAGAACTCCCTTGATTTCGTATAATGTTTGAGTGCTTGAGTATAGTCTCCAGTGGCACGGTAGAAGTCACCGAGATCTCTGTGGCCCATCTGATGGAGAGATGATATTCAGAGTCTCTGAAGAAACTAAGATGCTGGTCGTACCCTTATGCTCTCTTTAATCATGTTGTTAGAATACGTCTTCAATTCGACCTCTAGCTTCGTTCTCTCCGCTTGATTCTTCTTCGTAACCTCTTCGCACCACACCGTGTTTACTGGACACAGCTCGCTAGTCGGAGGGAGCTGCACCTCTGGGAGGTCCGCCACAGCATCATATGCATTCATCACGGTCTGATAAAGGGTTGGATCGCGAAGCTCCTCGATCTGCGCGAACGCCAGCTTCAATGCCTGTGGTGCCAGAGTCGGACATGTTGAGATAATGTGCACAAGCCTGTCAAGCGCAGTACGACCTTAGAGAGTCGGAAACCTCGATCTAAGCTAGTGCATCAAGAGGGGTGTTTGATATCATACCAGAATATCCCGAGATGTATGCATCCAGATCGAAAGGATGAGCATCGTCCACTGGTCGGATTCGTCTTCTCTGTGCTGCGGGAGGTTGCAGTATGGAGACTTCGTTCTCAATATAATCAATTTCCATCCGTAGACACTTGGATATGAAACGAAGTGGTCGAGTCCCAATTGCACGTTCCGTTATAGTGAAATAATTCAGCCAGTGACGTATGCATGTGTTATTCAACACACGCGGGCCCTTGGCACAGTTGGTAGCGCGTACGCTTCGCAAATCGGGAATGCGTAAGGTCGTGGGTTCAACTCCCACAGTGTCCATTTTTTTGGTACCTAGCTTGATCGACGATTGAAGCCATGACGCGCTATTGAACCAGCCAAGTTTATGTACAACAACGACATTCTTATGCTAATTAATGTGGTGTTTCGATATTTCAAAGATTCAGCAGTCCAAGTGTTGTCATCAATGGAGAAAAACTCGAAGGTGCTCAGAGGCAAACATCCATGCGTCTTTTTGCTGAAGCCAGGAACTCCATACGCACCCATCCATCTCTGCGAGTCGTGACACGCGCTGGCCACTAACTTTGATGTGACCGATGCGTTGAACCAATGGATTGTTGTGATTGGTGCTGAATCATTTGCCACATCGTAGAAACATGCACGTCTAGTGGGAAGAGCCGCGCCACATAGCTAGGGGAAATGAGCCCTGTCACAGAACTTCAGAATCTCACCAAACTTACTGCAAAAGTTACGGGTGCCGTATCATGAGCTGATGTACAACATGTGCTGGACACAGGTGCGTCCCGTGAGACTTGAAGCTCAAAGTTCGGTAACATAGGAAAGAGTAATACTAGCTACTCAAATCTTTTCCAGGCGTGCTTCTCAAACTCTTTCAGCTTCGCTCGCCTAGTTGGGCTACAGGGCAAAGGACGTCAAAAACTGCGCTGAAACACATCACGAATACTCACAGGACGGGTACGCGAGGCTCAATGAGGGCTCTTTGCTGCATGCTACGGAAGCGATCACGGAATAAGTTGCCCTCGGGCTGACAGGAGGCTATCAGCGATGTCGATTAAAATTGGTGCAGTCGACACACCTTCAGCGTTCGTAGGTTTTCACTCAGATCCTCTCCAATCTGAACCTCGATTTCATTTTCAGGAACTTTATATTTCCCTAGCCGTTGGCCAGCCAAGCCCTTTCTGAGCTTCATCTTCAGTGCCAGCTGCCTTGCCAATCGTGCTTGATTTTGTTGTTGGCTAACTTTCTCCGCGGTTGAACGGAAAGATTTAGCCATTGTGATCGTGGCAAGCATTTTTTTTCTTGCTGCCTTTTCTGCCAGTGCTTGTTTCTAGTGCAAGGTCAGCGACGATGGTAAAAAAGCGATGAAAGGCTTACCTCCTCGCGGAATCGCACCGCCTTTGCTCGTTGCTGCTTAGTTTTACGTGCCGATGGCTTCTTGGGTACAACCGCATCGTGCTGTGCGACTGGTTCACCATCGTCTGCGGGTATCTCATCTAAAGTCATTCCAAGTGGAAGGCCTTCCGTGACATTGGTAGCAATTGCGCGTGCATCAGCGACCTTGCGTCGGACTTCTGCCAATCGATCCGCTTCATCTTGTCTACGTCGCTCTACCTTGCATGCCTCCATGATAAGCTCATTGTGTGCCGCGGTAGGAGGATTGTATGATGATCCTTGATGTGGCTCCAACACAGCAGGAATTTCTATGACATCGCGAGGATGAGATAACTCCGGGCGCTATGACTATCATCAGCAAATTGCTGGTAGCAAGGAAGAAAAGTCTTGCCTTGATCTTAGGTTTTGTTGTATGTTCTAATCCATCAGCCATTTCTTCCACCTCCTCGGCTGCCCATGGATCATAAGAACCGCTATGTTTCACAGCAGCGCTGACATCGATTACAGCACTCCCTGCACCAAACTCTGTGTGGTCCATAACTGCATTGAATGGACCCTTTCTAGGCCGCTTTGCAATGCGAAGAAGGCGCTCCTTGTCAGCCCTACTGACTTTTGATCGTGATGGTATAGAGTCTTTTGTCGGACGAGAAAACACGGCAGGAATGGCAGATCGTTGGGAAAGTATTTTCGTGGAAGTCAACTCGGCCTTAGAGTACCGCGGTAACGACTTGCGAACTGAACACTTTTATATTTTTTACCTAGATATATCTTGCAAAAACTTACCTTTATCGTCTCCTTTGGTGTCCACAACAAACAATTGATTGTCTGTCTGTTTTTGTAGCGTGGAGCTGTCACGAGTCGATAAATGCGATTAGATGGTAGACATATGCAAGACACAAATTTTTCACACCCGATGACTCGCTCCTCTGAACGCAGACTCTCTAGACCTTGTTCCACAGGCTGTATGTCAATATTTTTCCGCCATGCCTTCTTGCCTTTACGGCTCGATTGAGCAAGTTGGGAGGGTGCTCCGACACCAGACGCAGAGTGTTTTTGAATTGAAGATTTTGAAGTCGAAGAGACCTTGCTGGTTTTTGTCGGGGCCATTGGGTAGTGGCGGCCTCCTTGCCTGTTGTCTTAGTGAGTCGTCTACAAACTCAAACGACCTATGGTCACGCGTACGCCGACATTGTCACGGTGTCACATTCAGCTGTGAACTCGCTAGTCTGACTTCAATTTATATATATCAGCAGTTTGATATACATGTCTGCCAACAACAATTCGTATTCGTTCGCAGTTTCGGTGAGACTATGTATCTGTCTTGGTTCTCCCTACGCTAAGCCTGGTTCTTTACGTAAACATTGTATGTTGGGTAGTCAGCATCCGTAGTAGATACTTTGCAGTTTGATCCTTGTGATGCTTTGCCAAGCGCCAGTGCCCCAACTCATTCCACCACTGGTGGCCCCCGCGAGCTCGAATTCCTAGACTCGTCTACTGCCACCGGGCGCTCGACGGGTACGCGTATATTGAGTTCCATGTCGTTGGGATTACGAGGCGATGTGGGCCTGAACTCTGTATTTATGGGGCTTCTTAAGCTTCTAGAGCCTCGGGAGTAATTCTTAGACTCGAACTGTGAGCGGAGACCGGACATCACGCTTCTCTGCATATTGAGCGTGCTCTGACGCGCGACGATCACTTTCTCTATGTGTTGGGCATTTGGCTGTGTCATTTCTGCGAGTGTGTGTAAGCAGGATGGCAGTCAAGCTCTAGGATGTTGCGCACCCCGTATACTAATGAGAATCCGTTGGCTCATGATCCAGGTCACAGTATAACCTATTGATGCCCTGATGATGCATTCTGAGCAGTCTGATCTCCTTGGCGCCAGACGATGCGAAACTTACCCTGCCGACTAATGATGGAAGCGAGTGGATACAATAGAGCTAAGTTTTGGCGTATCCATAATTCAGCCTACGTACCTGAGTCTCGAGATTGGTCGTATGATAAAAGATGAGGTTCAATACGTTCGACACTGAAGGAGTGTTAAGAGGGTACTCGTCACAAGCAGAGCACACTTGCCGGACAACACGAGAAAATATCCAATGCCGTCATAAATCAGACTAATTATGATGAGCGACGCGCATCGGTTCTGTCAGTCACAAGGTACTTACACCCGTATCAACCGTTCGACTCTAACAGCAATGATTTAGCAACCCTAAAGACGTGAAAGAAAAGGCGCACCTGCTACTGAGAGGATTATAACGCAGAAGATACATGGTAGATACCGTCACCATCACGATGTCATACAACATCACAGGGAAGTAGAAGAACCAGGTTGACAGTACTCTGGCAGAATTTACTGAAGTACAGCTATGGTTCATGGAGATCTGGACAGAACACTGTGGTAAAGGAATCACTCACTTTCCCTGTGCAAAAAAAAACGTTATTTGTATGAGATCTCGTTGTAAGAAACACTGACATACTAAATCAAGGACGGCAGCTTTTTGTTCTAAAGGTCAATAGCAAAATCAAGATCAAAACATTGACCAGAGCTTACGGGTCCTGTGAAATAGATCAACGAACCACTCCGCCTAAAGTGAATGTGAGACAGGGTTTCATGTCTGTGTAGTAAAGAGCTCACCGAAATTGAGAAGAGGTATAGCAGCAATAATGCAATTCCTATCCGCCTATCTCTTCTTGCAATATTGAATGTTCTACGCGGTATTTTAAATCTGCAGCTGCAACCCACGAACAATTCGACGGGACACACCTCACACCTAGAATGACCTGTGATATCATAGTTTGTACGACTACAACATGGTCACTAGAGTCCTGGTGCGTGAATACCAATACGACACACCTTTGAAGATAGGCGCAACAAGATAGTATTTTTGACAGGTTTGTTGGGTAAAGGTAGTGGAGAAGAACCCGTAATTGCTGACTACTATAGTCACGATACTGACATAGCTGCATCAAATGTGAGCAAAGAAATCGCATAACGGGATGTGGACACAAAGTACCGTATGAGAATGAATAAAACGCAGGCAAGACTGATGTGATTGGGCTTGTCAACGGTGGTATGTGAATGGTTTCGTACACACACCTTAAATGAAAAAATGGCGATTCGCTTTGGTAAAAACGCCATTCTGCGGGGAGTGTAAGAATATAACTGAGCATAATCAGCATATTGCGACGACTACGAGGCCATGACGAAGAAATCAAAGACTTGCTCATAAAACCCGATAGACATGCATGCTATTCGCAGATATTTCTCCACGATCACACTTTCCATAAGCAAACGCTGCTCTATTCAATGGATAAAATGCACGTTTATTGGCAACGTGTCAGATAAATATGTCCTTGATAGAGATAGAGGTGAGGGGCGAGATAAAAAATGCTAGCGGCTGCAAATAGGGATCTATGACTCACCTGGACGTCGCGCTTTCGACACAGAAAGGAAACAACTTGGAAGCAACGGTGATAATGAGAAGGAGGAATGGAACAAGGCAACGCTTTTGTTTTACCAAGACCGCACTCTGAGAACAATTGAAAGTGCTCGCGTAGGCAACAGGGTAAGCTTGCCCAGACTCGTCCAAGCACAAGCCATATTTGAGATTGAGCTGGCTTGAGCTGGCAAATGCAATTGCGAGGGGCCAGCGAGGTACTCCGTTTAAGCCTAACTTTGCTGATATGGCATCTGTTCAATGAGCTGGCGACTCGGAGGTACTTAAGGATGAATCATAACGACTTTGGAACCCAGGTTGGCGAACGTTGCCGGAGGCTCCAATGGGTTCTGTCCTGATCCCGTCCTGGGTCTGCCCAGAAGCGCAAATTTTGTCCAAATTATGATAAATAAAGACCTTTTGTAGAGGCGTTTTTGTTAGAGTATTTAGCTAGAAATCCATAGCGCAGCTCAGCTGGAAACATAGAAATATGAAAATTCAACCCCCTTCTATAACTGTGTCCAATTCGGTCTAGTTGTTTATCCAAGATTTGCTTGAGCTTTCTTATCAATTTGGGCTGTGAACGGTAGTGAAAATTAGAGCTGTTTTATACACTGTGGCATGTCTGATGAAACGGAGGACTGATGAACAGGTAGCAGCATCCCCAATCGATGAGATACTTACCTTTGGACGGGACCTGATGTGCAGTGTGCCGCACCTCTACTATGATTACCCATCCTTGTAACACAAGGAAATTGTATGCGTGGCTTATTTGCAATTTGCCCATAATGGCGCATCAGTGAACCCGTGAGGAAAGTAGATAGCAATAAATAACAATATATAGTACATAATCGCAAGAACTAGCATAATTTTGCTATCGACAATCACATTGTTATGTTTGACCTTATAGAGGAAAGACGCGTCCCTGATTATCGTATAAAATGTTATGAAATGCCATAACGAAAGGGAGGTTCACAACTCCGAAGCATCAAATAATTGACGTGAAAATATAAAGCTTTACAATGCTTTATCTAATTGCAAAATTTACATGATATCTGCGAGAATGATACTACCTGGAGTATAGTGATGCCGCAGTCCGGTTCTGAACTTCGGTTCGGACCTGAACCCTCCCGGACCGGACCGTGGGTTCGGTCCTGGGTTCGAAATAGTATAAGGACCGAACTGATTATTAAGTTCAGCGTTCGGCTGCTGCCTGAATACTGTGAACCCGTTCGAACCCGTTCGAACCCGTCTGAACGTGTTCTCATATTCTTTGCATGATCCACCAATATATCTGCTCTGATCTTCTGGCAACCGGCATGTCGATCGATCTCGGGACAATCAATAGCGGATCGGACTTCGCAGCCAAAACACCCAACACATTTCCATTGGCGAGATCTGACTTCCCTGGTAATCTACTCGATGTTCTGGTAAGCCTAATGTTAAACAAATGTTAATCTTTATTCAGACTTCAATGGTCTTTATTTTCAGAACATATTCTCAGGTTTCTCGTTCTGGTACTTCAAGCTTCAACACCAAGTAATTGCATGGCAACAGGATGTTCAAGGTGCGTCATTTTTTTGATCTCTTATCATAAAATTTGGAATAAATGAGCTACTTACTACAGGTTCAATCTTCACCCTCCTTGCTGCACAAATGTCGTGCGCACTTGGATCTGACGGCCAACTCAAGGATGCTAGTGCCATCGATTGGTACAATGATCCTGACGATGACACGCCCATGCTTCCTCCACCTCCACCTCCTGCATCCAATGGCAAGCTAACTGCCTTTGTGTCTCGCTCAGGCCGAGCTGTTAAACCGACAGAAAAAATCCGCGATGCTGGCAACACGACTCCAGCCAAACGAGTGGCTCCAGCGCCTCCCCAAGGACAGCCTGCACCCAAGCGAGTGCAACGTGGGTCCCGTCTGGTCCGTCACCATGATGACGATGACGACGAACCTCCTGCACTAGAGGATTGTTCAGATGATGAAGAAGAGGCCGAAGACAATGACGGGGAGGAAGCTTACGAGCGGACCAAGGTATTTGGAGACAAGGACCGTGAGGATCGCAAGCATAAGAAGAAAGAGGAGCGCAGTGGGGATTTGAAGGTAGTATTTACTCAGGAGAAGGGACGCATCAATCCGCACACCCAAGAACCCGAAGATGGCTGGTGGTGCGAGATATGCAGGTATGTTTTTACTTTTACTTTGAACGTCACACACATAACTAACTTTGTCAATTCAAGAGCCAATGATGTACCCACCAATCAGTGCTTTTTCAAAGGCAGTGTTTCGACTCGCCGCACCCATATCGCTCGAAATGCGAAGTGTCACTTTCCAATATACCGCGACCGCTGCAAAGAACGAGGTATCAAGATGCATGATCGGGCGATACCTCCTAACTGCAAAGCAACCGACGACTTGCAGAAAACGTTAGATGCCTCCCTCACGCCTAAAATTCCTGAATTCACCAAGACCGGTCTAATGGATTACATTGTTGAGCTTATCGTGTCTGAGGACGAGGTGAGTGTTTTTTTTTGTAATCGTGACTTAGGATGTTCATGCCATAGATAGGCATTCCAACTCGTTGACAAGGGACCCTTTCGCCGGCTCCTTCAATACCTCCGGCCTTCCCTTTCAGACAGGGATATTCCTCACCACACCAAAACTCGAGATGAAATTCTTGAACGGGTGCAGCTTGCCGTTCAACGTGTCAAGGAGAAACTTAAGCAAGTTGATAGCAAGATTTCGATCACGTTCGACTCATGGACCTCTGAACCTGGGGTACCTTTTCTCTCCGTCACCGCGCATTATATTGACTCCCCAGCTGGGAAACCTCATGAGTGGGAGTTGAAGACAGAGCAGCTTGCATTCACCATCATCAACGGCAATCACAGTGGGAGCAACATTGGACGAATCCTGATTGAAACTATCAATAACTATGGCATCCGCACTAAGGTTGGATGGTTTACAGCTGACAATGCTACCAACAACGACACAGCAATTCAGACCATCGCGCTTGCTATCGACCCTTCCGGCAAGAAATGGATTGCTGGGGAACACCGTGTGCGGTAAGTGAACTATTTAATATCGTGATTTATATATATTGATGTCTACTATTCAGCTGTATGGAGCACGCCTTGCACTTAGCTGCGAAACACTTTGTCGAGGAGGTCGCACCCACACCAGCAAGCGTGCTCCTCAAGAACATGGCCGATGAAGATGACGATGATGAAACGACTGATTTCGAGGTTGCCGACACCGCAGGAAAAGCCCTCGCACTTGTTATGCAGATTCGGAAATCTCCCCAAGCACGCACTTTTTTTCAACAGTGTTGTGTCGAGGTCAATGAGCCGAAGCTTGAGCTTTTGAAATGGATTCGCACGCGATGGGCCTCACTCTTTGGTATGTTGGAGCGCACCCTTAAGCTACGCAAAGTAAGTTGGTTTCTATCCCTATGCCCAATACTAACTCAATTTGATCTGCCGCAGGGGGTGAATAGATTCATACAACTGGCGGATGACAGTGACGAAGTCCCAAACTTGCAGGGCAAGTCATATGGAGCATTCAAGCTTTCAGCCGAAGAATGGAAGAAGTTGGAATTGATGCACGACGTGCTTCAGGTATGTGCGAGTGTCCAGTCGAGTCTCAAATGTTGTATTAACCTACTGTATAACCAGGAACCTGCCAATGCACAACAATCGTTTTCGGCGACTCGTGAACCTACTGTATGGCGCGCAATTCCAGTCCTCGAGTATCTCCAACAAACTTGGCAAAACATGGCTAGTTCTTCGAAGTTTGACGACTTTTCATCCGCAATCAACTCTGGCCTCGACAATATTCGCAAATGGTACCACAAGATTGACGAAACTGATGTTTATTTTGTTTGCCTCGGTATGTGTTTTATTTACTATGATGCCCTATCTAATGCACAATGTAGCGCTTGATCCTAACTATAAGGTGGCATATGCGAAGGGTAAATGGGAGCCTCACGACTTCGACGAGGGCATGAGAAGCTTGCGGAAGGTTTTTGACAAATATTATCATCACAACTCCTCGCCCGCTGCTGCAGAGCCGTCTATTGCAGCTCCTGCCTCGCTTGCTCGCCATGGGTCATACGGCCATAGCTGGATGCGCGATGCTGTCAAAACTCGTGTCGCAAATGACACCGCAAATCGAAGACCTCGCCAGGAGCTTGACGACTACCTTGCTGCCCCATTAGAGGATGTTGAGAATATAGTGGCGTGGTGGGGTGTGAGTTTTTCGCATCGCATTTCCTTGCAAGTTGACTCATTATGCCTTTAGCACCATTCCGTTCAATATCCCACCATCTCACGCATTGCAAAGGATTACCTCGCTATTCAAGGCTCTGCCGTTGCATCTGAACGAGCCTTTTCGAGTGGCGGCATCACTGGGACTGCGCGCCGTAATCGTTTGTTGCCAACAACATTCGAGGCCCTTCAGTTATTGAAGAGTGGGTACCGTCAAGGCCACATTTCTGCAACGGTTCAAGCTGAGTTTGCTGCTGCTCACGAACACTATGCCATGGACGAAATTTAGCTACTCATTTACGGTTCATGTATTTCTTGCAATTTTTGTCAAATTATATGTAGCGTTCGAGCGTTCGAACGCGTTCTGAACTTGAACCGAACGCTTGTGAACGCGTTCATAAGGGTCCGGTCCAGCGTTCGCCCTCCTTGCCTGAACGCGACCGATGGTCCAGTTCGGCGTTCGCATTTAGAGGCCTAAGAACCGAACCGAACCGGACTTCGGCACCACTACTGGAGTAAGTTAGACAGAACTACCAAAAGCGCCAGCATGACAGATTGCCTACAACAACCTGTCATTTTGTCACCAGTACCAAATTATTCTCATCCTCAGCACTCGTTTTGTGAAGCAAATTAATTTTATTTATATTTAAATACTACATATGTAGTTACAGGACAAAAAGAAAACAGGAAAAGATAGCGGAGAGATGAATGAAAGGAGGGACCAAGGTCAGCAAGGAACCACGAAAAAAGGCCAGCAAGGAGCCACGAGGAAAGGAAAGGAAAGGACCACCATGAACGGCCAGAGGAAGGAACCATGAGGGAAGGACAGACCACCACGAACGGCCAGGAAGGAACCACGAGGAAAGGAAGGGCCACCACGAACGGCCAGGAAGGAACCATGAGGAAAGGCCAGGGAGGAACCACCACGAACAGCCAGGGAGGAACCACCACGAACGGCCAGGCAGGAACCACCACGAACGGCCAAGGAGGTACCACAAGGAAAAGGCCAGGGAGGGACCACCACAAATGGGAGGAATGAAGATGCTGAGTCGAGAGGTGGTGGTAGTAGCGGTGAAAGAAGGATTGAAAGGAACTTGCGTGTAAATTTCCGTCCTGCGCAAACAATGACAAATCAATTTCAACCACTTGCGCTGGTCACATGATTTGAGGTTGTCCGAAAATTCTAAGGTAAAATTTGAGGCTGAGGTGATAGTCACGTGCATGATTTTGGATGACATTGTAATTCACGCAATATTTGAACCGATCTATATAGTTTTGTAAGTCAAAAATAAATGAGGTAATATGATGTTGCTCAACAAACGGTACCTAATTACACTATCATACCTCGCTGGTTGAAGCTCTCATAAGAATATAAATTAGGTTACAAGTGCTAACGGTTCTTTCCACGATAAAGTCTTATATCACTTGGTAGTTTAAAACATAAATGAGGGAACATGGCATGAGTCAACAAATATAACTTAACCATGCTATTGCATATTGATTGCTGCAACGGCGC